TTCACTGGAGGTTTTCAAAAGGAGGCTGGATCTGGAGGCTTGGATGATTTAGACACAAGAAATCCTGCATCTTGGCAGGGAGTTAGACTAGATGAGCCTTGCGGTCCCTTCTAACCCTATGATTCTATGATTCTAACCTTCAGACCCAGGTTGCTGGTGCGGAATAGACCGGGTCACCTCATTTTGAATGCATCATTCCACTGATTGCCTCTTAACACAGCAGAGTTGAACAAGCTTTTCTGGTCATTCAGGTAATAGATCACAACTGCAGTATATTGCCCTCTGATCCATGGGGAACCAGCCTGTTGTCCCATATATTTTGCAGTTTTATATGGAGTCTTGGAGATCCTAACCATGCTACTGAAGCCTGATTGGAGGTTTCTAGGCCTATCATTATTTGAGGTGCAGTCTGGTATAAGGGCATCACCTTCAAGATAATCTCTGGTGGTGTCCTCTGTAGTAAGAGTGGCATGTTGTGGACACTGGGTTTGTACATCAGATTCAGCCACCCTTGCAAGACTTGCTTGAGCAACGTCACAAAAGGTTCAGGCTTCCATAATGCCTAACACTTGCAGAGAAAGCTCCATTGGCTCATTTAGCCTGAATCGAGAAAGGAAGAGTTACTGCAGGTATGTAATACCTTTTACTGAAGCAATCATAACTGCCCTATGGAGTCATCAATGCCAATGTTGTAGAGAAGCTACATATCTCACAAGTATAGGAGAGTAATATCTTAGGAAGCAGAACATGTATAGTTATGCAAAGCATGTAGAATATTTGAAAAATGTGCATTTTTGAAAGAACCATAAAATTATAGTTGATTGAGATGGATAAGACCTATTTATAACATTATTAGTGCATCTTACTGTCCAATGCAGAGTTGTTTCTGACAGACTGTATTTTAGTGCTTTGTCTGGACTAGTTTTAAATGTCTCAAGCTATAGGCTTCCATAACTTCTTTTGGAAGACTATTCTACCATCTAGTAGCAGAGCTCTTTAGTAGTGTGAGAATTACCTTTTTGTTATTAATCAAATTAATTTCCTTTTGCCTGAGAGAAATTATATGCCCTAGTAATTTTTATATTTTCTATAAATGGAACATAAGGTCTTTGATGTGAAATATCCAAAAATGACCAAAAATACATCAAAACATTTCTATTAATTCATGAGATTAAGAAAACCTTTTTACATTTTCTCCTGTCACTGATTCCATTTGCCTTATTACTTTCAGCCTCTAGCCCACAAACTTGGTGGCACAATCAACAAACCCCTTAGTGGCTGTTTCATCTCTGCTCTATTTGATTTCTCCACTCTGAGTAAATGATTAAGTTTTCATGCATTGGTTCAACCAAAATCTATGTTCACTCAACCACATCCTTTATTGATTACTTCTACTGCAAACAGTAGGCCAAGTGTGATATACATAATTGGACAGTTGTCAGGGGATGTGGGTGTTAACAGTCCTGTTTTCCCAGTTGGAAACTGGAATCACCTTGATACACAAATATTCTGCACTGTTTCATTCTCATCCTTTGGACCGAGGAGTTCTTTTCCTCAGAATATATGTTTTTAACTCTCTAAGGTCTGGTTGAATGGATTTAATGATTATACCATATAATATGCTGTTCAAGTTGCACCTGTGCACTGCATATAGAAAACTAGAAAAACTGGAATTAATATTTGTCTAACACTTTAACCTTGTCCTTTAACTTATATAAATCATGTGCCATGCTTCTGTGTGGAAATGTTTGATTTTCTCCCCTTTGGAAGAAAGATAGGTTTCCAAATATGTTTCTAATTCTAAAATTCAGAAACCTTTTGACATTGGGCAAATGTTTACAATTCAGTACATTTCATATTGTAGTGCTGTTTAAATATGTTCATTTAATAATTTTGATAAATAGAATTCTACTCATTTAAAAATATGTTCTTTACTCTAACATAACACTTGAACATTTTAAACACCCTGTTAAATTCTGGATGTTTTGGCAGCCTATTGCAGTAGTGCATCTGACTCCACCTATCTAGAGGTGGTCACAGCAAAATTAAAGATTTGCATCAAAGCTTCACTGTTTTTTCCTGTTCAGTGGCAGGAACTTCACTGTTCTGATTACTCTGTTTGCATAAGCCAATTAAGGAACCATAGCAGACATAGCACCATCAAATTCTGGAAACATGTATCCCTAATATGGTTTATATTAAAAGGATTAGTTTAAATAAACCTCAGTCAGTCATTTGTTGCAGGAATATAATTTAAAGGTGTTTTAAAATAGTATGAATTTTCATCACTTACAGGAACTTAAATTTGTGAGGTTCTAAATTAGGACTGGATGTTTTTTGGCTGGCTTGGTGACTTGACATATAGCATGCTGCACTACTATGTTAGAGACTCAGGTTCATGGTTTATATTGAGGTCAGCTGCAGTGACAGTCAGCCTTAAAGAGAAAAAGAGTGCAGTGCTTCATTCGTAAACAAACTCGAGCATCTGGCCTAGAGGGCAGAGATACTATATTGTTAACATGGCCAGCTTTATTAAAAATGATATGTGCAAATATTATTGTCAAAGTCATTAGCCAATTTTCATCCTAGATTGGGAGTAACCTCAAGTAGCCTGAATCTCAGTGGAATTGGAAGTGACACCTGCAATCCATAGTCTATAGGGTAGCCTGTATGACTGCAGCAACTGTTGGTCTGTGCAGCCAAACAGCAGCATTACATCCTGAAGGAGGCTACCAGCTCTATGGTCTACAGTGTTAGTGTCATTATATTGCTGCTGCTGTCCAAGAAGAGAGAGGATTCTAAAGCAAACAGTGGCATTCATGAGTGATGGGGGCAGAAAAATATAAAAGCAAGATTCTCACTGACACTAATATGCTTAGTCCCCTCCCTCGGCATGTTATCTCAATTTGGTCACTAGGCGAGGTCTAACCTATCTACAAAAATGTGTGACCAGATGCTGATTAAATAAAACAACATTTTAGAGTACTGGAAACTCAGAAAAGCATTGTAAATAATAACCTACCTATTTTGTTCATTCTTGGTACTAAAAATAATGCAACAATATACTGGAAATTTAGGAAATGTATTTTTTCTTATTGTGTACAGAGGACCTAATTCTGCCCCTTGTCAGCTACAACTGGTTAATAACATAGTAAAAACATCCTGATTGATTAATAACTTAGATTGGTTAATAATTAAATCACACAAAGTTTTAATATCATGTGCTGCAAAGAGCTGCAGGAGACACAGTAAAGAGCCACTTGTAGCTCACGAGTCTCAGTCTGAGTATCACTGCCCTACATGCCTCCATGGAGGCAGCAGATATGCAAATGAGGACAGAATTGGGTTCCAAATTTCACGCCAAAGCAACTTAGTAAATACAGTTTCTAGACTTCTGTACTTCAAAATAAGTCTGCTAAGGGAAGCAATGACAGATTATCAGCTATAGTCTATTGAGGTGTATGAAGAAACAACCTCAATAAAAATTTAATTGCAATCTTTGTCATTTGTTTTAGTCAGGGAAAAGTGACTGAGGCTATTGCGTACTTGGAAAAGTTTGTGACAGTTGCCAAGAGTGCTCAGCTAAGCCGAAGTCTAGTGGATGCATGCATATCCCTTGGAGATATTTACAATGAAAGAGTAAGTATTAATTATAATGATGATGCCCTACAGTTGATTGTAATTTAGGGTCAAAATCTGTGTTCTTGTATGAGAGACTGTCCCATCAGAATCTGATGAATGTATTGATTCAGATAGGAATTTCTCCTTTATTGCCAAATGATTAGGTATGGATGTGAACTGGAATGCCAAATCTGAACACTTTTGGGTAACGTTAAAATGTGTTTCTAAACCCAGATCCAAATTTCACAATAAGGATGTAATTCTGTAATGAGTCAAACCAAAACCCCAAATCCAAACAACCCCTATATTTCAACTCTGTCAATGGTCTGGGTCCAGATATGCAACTTGGGCACATCTATACAAATTAACAATTAAATCACAAATAAATATCTTATAGCATACCACTGTACAGTATAACTACTGCTCTTTGAAGATTAACAAATGGACAAATAAAAATTCTAACCTACGACACTGGTGGAGATTTAAATCTTTTAGCCTAATTTGCTATGTGAGCTCTGCCAGCATAATTCAGGAAGTGACTTCCAGTAGAAGAAAGTCCTCCGGGGGAGTGTATCAGTAGTGCAAAATCTTTTTCCACACACACGTGCTCGCATGCACTCACACACATTCTACTTAATGGCCTTGGTTTGGTCTGTGCAACCCAGAAAATAGACAGTGCTGGACAAGGCGAGGTTGGGGTACCCATGAAATCTGCTGATTTAACTTATCTCCCAGACAGCTTCCTTTTGAACTAGGCCTGATATTTAAAACTGTCCTGTGGTGAAACCCCAAATGAAGGCACTAGCTGCCTTTCTTTCCATGTAATAAAAGCCTCTGCCAGTGCAGCTGCCTATGCAGGGACAAATAAAACCTGAAAGAGTATTCAGAAAAAAAGTATTTGATGCTAACTGTTTTTAAAACATTTTTGAATTTGAAATGATACATGGAATCATGTTGAAATAATAAGTAATAAAAGAAAATTGTACCCATCTTGTTCAGCCCTGCTAGTTGCAGAAGGTGGAAAGGCACTTTCACCATGAATAAATTCTATATAAATATTGAAGATGAAGTTTTAAATTACTAAGAGCATTTCTGAGCTGAGGCTACCATAGTGCTGAAAAAGTGAGGGAGCTCTATGGGTATGCAGCAACCATAAATCTGGTATTTCCTAACTTTCAAATGCTTGATTTGGCGACCTAAATAACATTCTTTTAATTTATTCTACAGCTGCATGTCCACCTTAGAAATTGCAACCCCCAAATGACTCCTTACTTTTATGTTTTATCTTATACAGAATTCCCAATGCAAAGGTTACTGTCCTGTGGTGTTGCTTAAGCAATGAAACAAAGTCTATGCTGTAATCTTTGAATTAACCTGGGACTTCAATATTACAATATTCTCATTTAAAGATTTGCTCCTTAATGCAAATGCAAAAGACTCTGCCTTTATAAAAAATGATCTTGAAAGCCAAAGAATTTGCAAGGTATATAAGAAATATATTTAAAATGTACCTTTATTGTAGTTTAGTGGATTTGGAAGTCAGAATAAAATAGGCTTATATCAACAGTAGAGTTAAATATTTCCCCTCCACAGTTCAGGCAAGTGTTGCAAAATATTTAACTCAAACTCTGGTTAACTGTCATTTACATTCTTCTGGCATCATTGCTGATTACCAACTGCATTCAAAGTGATCTTCTGTAACAACTAGCCTTCTCCTACATGTTCTCCTTAAGTTTTGTTTGTGATATCAGAATTCAAAATTGATTGGTGTCTCAGCACTGAATCATGGTATCACAAAAAGAAAGAAATACAGAGAAAGAATATTACTTTTAAATATTCTTGGGGATTTTTGTAAAATATGTTACTTTAAAAGTATGGCAATATTTCTTTAAAACTAAAAACGTATAGTGAGAGCTCACTGCATTATGTTAAATGACATCTCTTTTCAAACTGTCATTCTGAAACAATGTATAAGTCTCATGAAATTAAAAATACTAAAGCAAAAGCATATATCTGCTCTGCAGAGTTCTTTCCTTCATTTGGTTCATTTTTAAGGGATGTGTTACTTTTCTTGTTACAGTTATTGTTGTTACTATTTAGTTTTAGAAATCATACTACTTGAAACATCAATAGCAAATTATATTTCTACTTGATAGGAAATAGGGTTTTCTTTTAATGGTATATATCAAATAACATATAGTTTAACTAGCCTTAGTTTAGTATTAGCTCTTAGCATAAATATAGGAGTGATTTTGCAAGACTAAACAAGTTCTGAGAGTTCTAAATCCTAGTTAGTCTCAACAAAAATTGAGGAAGGGACAGTCCACAGGAAAATAGTGCTGGATTATGTGACTGAAAAGAACTCTCTGCTCCAATATGCAAGCCAGGTTGCTACTTCTATCACTGAAGAATTTTTTCTAGTGATTGGTGTTTTTTAAATCATATCCCATTAAGCTGCATATTTAACATCAGAAATACACTTTTCCTTTTTACAGTGCTGACCATGCTCATGAGTTTTTGTATGCATAAAAAAAAAATCACATCTACCCATAGCTCCTTCTCACCAGGAAGCCCTCTAAACCTCCACAGTCTAATCAGACTCCACAATTGCACAGGGGAATTGAAATCTTCAGTGGGGGGGGACGGACTTAGTCAAGTTAAAAGTAAAGGGGTCAAGCAGCTGACATCTCTGAAAAAGACTCATGTGCCAGGAAGGATGTACCCAACAAGGGCTGCAGAATTCCATGGGGCTTTGAGGGATGGAAACTGATCCACTATGGCTGCTAATAATAGGAACATAGGAATTGCCATACTGGGTCAGACCAGTTGTCCATCTAATATGTGTTCTTGGTCAGTGGCCAGTTTCAGCTGCTTCGAACAAAGACACAAAATGCCTGTAAGAGGCAGTTATATGATAATTTGCCTCCAGGGAAGGTTTCAATCTAACCCCACTAGTGAAAGTTTGGCTTATGCCCTAACACTTGATCCTTTATATCCCTTCCAAAACATTTATCTATTTTTAAAATATTTATGATTACAATTTGGATATTCTTGTTACTCATATCAGTGTCTAATCTCTTTTTTAAATCTTAAACTCTTGGCCTCCATGATATCTTCTGGCAATGAGTTTCACAGGCTAACTCTGCACTGTGTGGAAAAAATATTTCCTTTAATTAGTTTTGAATTTGCTGCCTTTCATTTATATCAAATGCCCTCTTGTTTTTTGTTTATGAGAAAAAATCTTCCCAATTTATCTTTTCTGTACCATTTGTTGTTTGGTGTGCTTTAATCATGTCGTATCTTATCTCCTGTCTAGTGTAGGCAGCTCAGTTTTTTTACTCTCTCTTCATAGGGTAGTTTTTTCATGGCCCTAGTCATTCTCATGATATATCTCTGAACCTCATTTATTGCTGCTGTATCTTTTTTGAGGTGGAGTAAATAGAACTGAACACAGTATTCCAAGCGAGGGCATACCATTTATTTATATAATCTCGCATTATAATATTTTCAGTATTCTTTTCCATCTCATTCCTTATGCATCCTAACATTTTGTTTGGTTTTATTAATATATTATATTTTATTTTTAAGGCTGCTGCACATTGAGCAGATGTCTTCACTGAGATGTTCTTATGGATGCCTGGCTCTTTTTCCTGAGCTGATACAGTTAATTTATAACCCAATAAGTGTTATAAGTAATTCAAATTATACCCTCCAATGTGCATTTGGCATTTTTCAACATTGAATTGCATTTACCATCATGTTGCCCATTGACCGACTTTGGTTAGATCCTTCTGAAGTTCCTCCCAGTCTTCCGTGGTCTTGACTAACTGAAATAATTTTGTGTCCTTTGCAAGGTTGCCACTTTACTACTCACCCCCTTTTCCAGATAACTAAACAAACAAATTAAACAACACCGATGCCAGTACAGAATCTTGTGGCACCCTATTTTTAAAAACTATAGGTGTGCCACTTGCTACCCTCTGTTATAGTATCTGATTTTTATGAGAGATTCCATATATTTGCTGGCAACTCAGCCACTTCAGTTTCAGGTTCCTTCAGAAACTCTATGCTGTATACCATCTGGGCCTGGTGATATATTGCCTTTTAAATTGTCAGCTTGTTCCAGCATCCCTTCCTTAGACACCTCCATCTCAGATTGTAGTTCGTCTTTATTACCAGAAAGAAATAGGTCCAGTGTAGGCATCTCCCCAACATGCTTTGTGGCGAAGATAGATACAGAGAAATCATTTACCTCTCAGCAATGTCCTTATTTGATTTAATTGCTCCCTTTACTCCCCTGTGGTGCAGACCCATGGATTCTCTCTGTCTTTCTGCTTCTGATGTATTTAAATAATTACTTATTTGTTTTTATTTCTTTTAGCTATTTGCTCTTCAGATTCCACTTTAGCCCTTCTAATGCCTTCTTACATATTGCCTGCTGTAGTTTATGGTCCTTTATTTTGGCTCCACTAGTGTTGGATTTCCATTTTCTGAAGGAAATCTGTGGCTTGAATAACCTCTTTAACCTTGCCATTTACCCATAGGAGTTTACATTTTTCCCTCCTGTTTCCCCCCTTTTTTTTGTATAGAGGAGTGCATGCGTTCAGAGACAGTATTATCATTTCCTTATTTCTAAACATTTTAATTTCTATACTTTTGACAGTAGGGGATTTGACTAATTTCCTTGTTTCTTAAAAAAAAATCCCTGTTTCTAAATGTGTTAGTGTCACCATGCTAGTTTTTATCCTTTTCCTCTCCCAAGGATGTTGAACGTATTGAATTTCTGGTTACTGTTACTGAGTGGCTCAGCTATAATCAGAAATAGTATTTACCATTTATATAGAAGTTTACATGTTCAAAATGCTATACAAATAGGACTAATAAATACAGTTCCCCAGAGAAACAAGTAAGTAAATCCTATTATCTGCATTTTACAGATTAAGAAACTGAGGCAGAGAGGTGTGAGTTTTCCAAGATTACACAGTGAATCATTCTGGGGGTGGAATAACAACTGTGGCTTCTTTAAGGTTGTGAAGGGGGAAGTACAAAGCACTAGGGTAAAGATGTGCTAGTTAAAAAAAGTAAAAACCTCTTCTTCACTTTTCTCTTCCTTATTAGGGGAACTATTACAAAGCCTGTGAATATTTCAATCAGGCTTTTGAGGCAGCAAACACTCTAACTGACTTGCCTCTGGTGGATGAAACAAAGGTTTATTACGGCATCGCAAAAGGTCATAACATGATGGTGGTAGTTAACAGTCATACAGACGCTGCAGATCACGTCAGCATTGAGTACCTGCTGGCATGGAAGGAGAACAGAAGTGACATGTGCACTGACCCTTTTACAGTTGGTAAGACATTGGTTATGAAACGCATTAGTGCTGCATTGTCTTTAATGGTTGTCATTTTTCTTGTAGAGTTTTATTAAATTATTTGCTGAGCTTAATCCTATTGGATTACCCTTGTACTGTATGGAGGTTGGATGTGCACTTTGTTGTGCATTTATTTAAAAAAATTAATTAAAAGAGGTTTAAACAATACATAGAAAAGAAACAGATAGTGGTAATCTATTTCAAATGCTAACTCTAACATTCGCAGTGCTGTTTTTCAAATCATCACAATTACAGACAAACAAGTGATGTGTTAGTTTAATCAAATGAAGATCTGAAATTTAAAAAATCTTCTCCTGTAGTCTGTTTTTACAAGAAAAGGGTTAATATAAACTCTCTTATTAAGAATAAGAAATACTTTCTCAGTTATCCCTAGCATGTTGGACTTCTTATAACCCTGAGCACTCAAGCACATTTTTGGCATCTTTGCCCACGGCACTGATATCACTTGACCAAAGGAATTTAAAAAAAGAGCTTTTCCCCATTTCCCTAGTGTAATTTCTTGTATCAAATAGGGTAAATGTGGGTGAAGTGGGATGGATCTTTCTTTCACTGTTTAAATTTTCTTTCGTTTTTTTTATTTCCTTCTGTCTTCTTTAATGAAAGGAAGAATGGTAATACAGTACAAGCTGTCTAGTTCCTTGTTATCTCTAGTAATCACATTTAGGCATTAAAGCGTTGATGCTATTTTACTGAGGATAAACCTACTGTGTATTCTCAGGAAATAATTTCCTCTGCAGATTCCTGTGCTTGGGAGAATATGCACCTGGAATGATCTAGGAAGGAATGACATTTGTGGCATACTGCATGATACTCCCTTGCAGTAAATGTTTGGATCTGCAAAAATGCCATTTATAAAGGACAGTGCCTCAATTTCTTTTTTACTCCCATAGGCAAAGGATCATTCTGTCTGTGTTTTCTTGTTTGTCCTCTTTTTCCCTTTAATAGAATTAGGACAGCTAAGTGTAATTGTAATATGTAAAAATAATTGGTTAGGCGTTTTCTTGCTGAAGATTTTGGCAGCTGAATTGGAGACAGTTGGGTGTTGATACCTGGGACAGCATGGGAGGTAACTGAGAATTGTGGGATGCTATGATATAATTGGATATTTCTGCTCAAATGACCAGCAGTGGAAGAGTTAACAATTAAATTATCATTAGGTTTGAGTTCCATATCTCACTGAGATGATTATGGCAGTTCACACTTCTGAACTATGTTAAGGATGTTTGCAGATCCAAGAAGGCAACAGCATATCTATTTACATTTGGGTCACATATTCAAAGTTACACAGTATACGTAACTATGTGGGCTGGGTGCAGGGGGGTTTTAGAGTGAAAGCTTAGATTCTTTAGCACAATTGTATGGCAAGGAGTGAGCAAACAGGAGATTCTGCTGCAAACTCCATGGAATTGCAGAATGCTCAAGGCACTGATTACATTAGAAAATTTCTGACTCCAAAGGGAAAGGGTCTTTGTTCTGAACTGAACAGGTTTGTTTCAAGATTCAGTTTTTGTATGATGACACTGGTAGCCACCATGCCTTTTATCGCTTCACAGGACTGGTTTAGTGCTTTCAGCCTGAGAGGCATTCTTTCACATTTCGTTCACTACACACAGTTTGCTTTCTGCTCAGGAATCAATAAAGTCCATCTTTACCCAGACATAGAAATTAACACTCATAGGGACCGGTCTAGATGCTTCAGTGGTTACTGCCTTTTAGCTCCACAAGAAATATTAAACATTCAAAGAAATATTGCTTCTATAAATTTGCAGTTACGTGCGAGGGAAGAGGGTAATTTTTTTGAGGTCTCATGGCTTCTTGCATTCATGGGAATCCGTTACACATGCTGATTGTGAGAAACCTACAGTCTTGGTTGAGTGCAAATGGCAAACCAGAAGTCAGCAGTTCATAAACATCGAATGCAAGATTCCGTCATCTGATGGATAGTGTCTTCAAACATTCTTTAGGATTTTTTCCCCTAAACCTCTCCAGAATGGTGATAGGCAGTTGGGCTGTACTGGAGAGTTCTCTAGAATATCTTAATATTAATATTTTGTGTAAAGCCAGAGAAACCCAGAGTTTGCTTTAGTGTATTGTAACTTAGTGTGCCTGGCATTAAGAGCTATGTTCAAGTATTTGGCAGTTGATTCACAACTCAGTATGCTCAGATACAGTAGTATAAACTCAGATGTACAACTCAAGAGCAGTGTATTATCTCAACCATTTGGGGTCGGACTCTCACTTAAACTGTATTATGAAGACAGAGCACTGTGGGATTGGTGCATCGTTCATAACTTTTTTACAGCTATTCATTTGATAGGGGGAAGCTAGTCTCCTGCAGACAATCTAAAAACTTTACAATCAGCTCAAGTGCTCTTTGAAGACCGCAGTCAGGTAGCACTTCAGTGTAGATCTGCTTAGCTACAAGGTCAAGCACAAGAAAATGCACTGTAGGAAACAATTCTGCATCTTCATAATGATGAACTGAATGATCTAATAGATCTTTTCCACATATAGATTCTATAACATCCGATGTCCTTAGGATTGATAGGAGCTGGTAGGCATCCAGGTTCCCTGATTTTATGTTCCCTCTAGACTTAAGTCACAACCAGTTATTTTCCTTCCCTCAATTTCACGAATTTCCACAGTCAAGAGAAAGGTATTTGCTTAGCATCAGTGAGAGTTTGCTCAATTCTGATCTTCCAATCTCCTGACCATGCCATTAGAACCAGCTTTCTTTCTTCCTCTGTCACCAGGCCTTCCATCTTACAGGTAAGGTCAGATTCCCCAGGGAGATCCAGACTTATTCCATCTGAGAGTATGCATCTTGGCACCTTTTAATGTGGCTCTTGAATGCTGTGACAAAGTGGAACAGTTTCCAGTGGAATGCAGGAAGTCAACTACAAAAAAGGTATTTGCATGGAAGAGGAAGAACTCCATAATGAGAGTTCACAACAGCAACATAGATATCTTGTCTTCCCCAACTCCTCAGATTGAGACTATTTACCTAAAAATTGTCAGGTCTTTTTTTGGCTGCTTTTAAGGGTCAACTAAAAGTGATCGTAGCCAATCATTTTATAGTATGGAAACCAGTAATTTGGGTTTATTCAACTTGTGTTTGGAAGGCTTTGAACTTCTGATCTGTGTTTACCATCTGGCTTGAGACCCACCTCCTTCCTAAATGTAGAACTTGGTTCTAACAAGGTGTCAGGGAACAGACACTGAGGTGCAGAGCAGACACTTTCTATATACACCTCTACCCCAATATAACGCTGTCCTCGGGAGCCAAAAAATCTTACCGCGTTATAGGTGAAACTGCGTTATATTGAACTTGCTTTGATCCGCCGGAGCATGCAGCCCTGCCCCCCCGGAGCGCTGCTTTACCGCGTTATATCCGAATTCGTGTTATATCGAGACGTGTTATATTGGAGTAGAGGTGTACCACCAACAGAATATGAGTGTACTGCTGGTGTAGGTGGTCTCTGGAGGAACACCCCAGTGTAGAAGAATCTTCCAGTAGCACAGATCTATGTTAATGACTCCTTTTACAATTTTCTGACATCCATTTAGGGAGATGGTCAAGGGGTAATAGTCTCTGTTTAGAGACTATCCAAGTGGATTAGACTCTGTATCCATTATGATCATGTAGATGTCAAACACCAATGGTTTTTTTTTCTTTCTTTGAGGTTTGCCCAGTGATACCTTTAAATAGTATAAGTGTTTGTTTTGTGTGAGCCTTATATCCCCACTTCTCATGCACCCACTGGTAACAAGCTTTCAGATAGAAGTAAGCAGAATGTGATTTGAAAACTCCTTTACTCCTTTGCAAGTGTGGTATGAGAAACAAGTTCTGCCTTCTTGAATCCGTTTCCTTCAAGCTTCTCTGGCCAATTCACACTATGCTGCTTTAATGTCAAAATTACCACTCTAGTTCCAGCAAGCTCCAGGCATCCTATGACTACTGCATATTTAGCAGCTCTTTCAGGGCTGTATTCTTTTTCTCATTAGTGTCTCCAGGCTTACTCTCATGATACCCAGACTACATCCAAGAAAATCTCATGTCACACTGTCAGCGCAATCTGTAGCATTTTCTGCATTTTTCTTGCCAAATCGGTATATGGTGCTGGCATTACATTTTTGAATATCTTTGTGTGGCAAAGCATAGGTTTGGCATGAATTCAGTATTAAGACTCACCAGCTTTCTGTTTCAAGCATTGACATCATCCTATCTTCTAATAATAATATCTATGCATTCACTGATGAATTTTCAGTTGTCACTTCGTTATTTTGGAAATTTCTTCTGTGCTAATAAGATAGTATCTCCTAGTTAATGTTGCAAACAGATCACATTGATACTCTGCAAGACTATTCTCAGTCAAATTGAGGATAAGAGAGTTAAAGATATCATTTAGTGGCCTTCCTTATCCACATAGAAATATAATACAAGGAAGCAGGGGTACAGCGAGCCCTCTAAAAGCAAGTTGTAAGTTTCCATTTCCAACTGTTTTGTATGCATCATTGCAGCTAAAAATTAATAGCTTCTGTATTCTTGAGTGAACTCATTAGTTGGGCTGTTCACAAACTATGACACTTAAACTCAAGAATTTCCAGATCACCCTTTCCTTTCTTCCCTGTCCTCTACACCTTTCAATCAGTATTCATTTTCTTCATCAGTCATTTCAAGAACCCAACAAGATGAACCATCAATTACCGAACTTTCCTCAAAATTAATGAATAAAATGGATACTTTGACAAAGTTATGGACAACAGGGATGGGATTGTCAGAGAACAGAAACATGTTTCCTTCATTAGTATATCAATATCCTTTGCTTGTTTGGCCTTAATTTCGGACCCAAACACTAAGAAAGTTATTTAATGCCATCCTAAGTCACAGTGTGTCTTTACTAACCTTTAACGGAGGCATATATAAGAAGTTATTAATACAGGATGGCAGCAAAAAG